CCACCTTAGGTGTATGTGGCTGGCGCCTTAGCCGCTTGAGCCACAGGCGCCAAGCCATCAAAGATGCTCTTCTGAGGCTCGGTGCCGGTAGCTCAGCAGCTAAGGTGCCAGCCACATACACTGGAGGTGGTGGGTTCGAACCCAGCCCGGGCCTGCGAAACGACAACTACAACCAAAAAAAATAGCCAGGCATTGTGGCAGGTGCTTGTAGTCTCAGCTACTTGGGAGGCTAAGGCAAGGGAATCACTTAAATCCAAGAGTTTGAGGTTGCTGTGAGCTGTGACATAGCAGCACTGCACTGAGGGTGACATAGTGAGACTCTGTCTCAAAAAAAAAAAAAAAAAGATCCTCTTCTGAAAACAGCAAGGGAAGAACTTAGGTCTGTCACCCTGGAGGCCAAGCCAATGCTCAGCCCTTAAGGCTACCTCAGTCTTCCAAAATGTTGCTCTCCCATTAATACCCCAGCCCCTCTCCACATCCACCTTGGAGCTAGGGAAAATGGGGTGTTAAGCCACTTCCTGTGGGATAAATGAGGGTCTCTCATGGGCATGCCCTATTGGCAGAAGGGGACTTAGGTAGGGATGGGATGGGGAGGATACTGGGCCCCCATTGGGAGCTGGACTGGACTCTGCCTTGGGTCAGTGTTACCTGTGAGTATTTTTGTGTTCACTTCAGTTGGGCTGGAAAGCAAGGCCTCATTTCTCAGATTCACAGGACATCTGATTGAGTGAGACTTTGATGTCTGTCCTGCTATTTGGTCCCAGGCCATGGACCTGCATATCTATCTAGGCCTAACTGCTGAACTCCTACTTTTCCTATGAAACCCTACCCATATGGTCCTCCTATAGGATGACATCTCCAGCATCCCTAGTTGTTAAGACTGCTGTCTAGACTTCTGTTACTGGACTTAGAGCTATCTTCCCCAGACTAGAGACTGTTTTTTCTTTGAAACAGAGTTTTACTGTCACCCTTGATAGAGTGCCATATTGTCATAGTTCACATATTTTAAACTCGGGCACAAATGATCTCTTATTTCAGCTTCCTAAGTAGCTGGGACTACAGGCACCTCCCACAATGCCTGGCTATTTTATTTTAGAGAAGGGGTCTTGCTCTTGCTCAAGCTGGTCTTGAATTTCTGAGCTCAGGCAATCCACCCACCTTGGCCCCAGAGTGCTAGGATTATAGGTGTGAGCCACCTCTCCCTGCCTCAGACTAGGGACTTTTGAAGACAATGCTGGTGGCCCCATGGCTGGCACTGTATTCCCAGCCTGTAGTTGGCTTTCTTGATTGCTCTTGTCCCCTGTGGCTCACCTGAGAGACCAAGACTCAGAGAGGGTAGATTCTGGTTCACTGTCACACAGCCCCACAGGAAGCTTGGCTCCATCTGTTCCCCACCAATCCCACCAAAGTCCTGGCACAAATCAGGTACAGGAGGACCCTCCCTCCAGGCCAGGAATATGAATTGTGCCCATATAGTGCCTGGCATTTATCACTGTCCCACCTAAAGTGCCCCAAGACTGAGTGGTATCCAGGTCACATTATATAAATTCTCCAAGATGCTGCCCCAGTAAGACTCTGGGCTCCTCTGCTGGTCTTATCTCTATGGACCTGCAGAAACACTAGGCCTGTGGGGCTCCCCAACAAGTCTGGCCAAGATGGTGATGCTGGATGTTAGCCCCTCAGCTTCCAACCGGAAGGCTACTTAAGGCTGTCAGAGGAGAAGAAGCCCCCTTGTAAAGACAAGGGTTTAAAAACTTTAGAGATCCTGGACAAGTCCCTGCCTTGAAATCCTCCTTTCCCCCCTCTCTGGACAATGAAAGAACAATTTTTTGCTGACAACTGAGCACCTGGAGTCAGTTGCTTGGGGGGCTGAGGCAGAAGGATGGATTGAGCCCAGGAGTTTGAGGTTGCAGTGAGCTATGCTGACACCATTGAACTCTAGTAGGGGTGACAGAGCAAGACTCTCTCAAAAAAAGAAAAGAATGAAAGAAAGTGCTAAGTAGCTACACACGGTAGGTGTTAAACATGTTTATTTCATGGGGAGGGAGAACAAGACCTACTTCCAGGGGATGAAGTGAGATCTGGGTCAGACCTGGAGGAGGTGCTGGGATGGTTTCCTGGGCCATCAGAGTTGAGCCCAAAAGGATGAGGCATTCGCAATCAGAGAAGGCTACCCATGGTAGGCAGAACAGTGAGGCAAAGGCCAGGAGGTAAAAAGAGAAGCAAGGGACCCTCACCTCTATGTTATGTCCTTCTGCCTGTCTTCCAGGACATTCAGAAGTACACAGAACCCTCACTGCCTCCTTGGTTGTCAAATTTCTGGATCTGGGTCTTGAGATGCCTCAGTTTGCCTTTCAGGTAGTGGCAACGAGCCTGCTTGTCCAGGAAGCCAGGGTCCTAGGCAGGGCAAGAGCTGGAAGTCCTTGAGGCAGTCTAGCCTATGGCCTTCAAGCTGCTCAGCCCTTTGTCTTTTCTTCACTGAACCTCAGTTGCCTCTCCTTCAGACTGATTCAAGTGTCCCAGTCCCATGGGAGTACCAGGGGTGCAAAGGCCAAGCTGTGGGACCCAAGACTCACCCTCTGCTTCTTCTCAAACTCTCTCCAGACACGGGCTGCCACTTGAGCCTCCTTCTGCAAGGGGGGGTTCAAGGAGAGTTGGATCCAAGGAAGGATAAGGAAACTGAGGCTTAGATAGACTCAGTGACCCATTGAAGGAAGCCCTCAAGGGCTGACCTTAGCCATATATTATGGCA